CATTCAACTGGCCCACGACGACTAATCCACTTTCCAGGAAACTGTTCATCTAGGAATGCTCGGACCTGGCACCCATAATGTGGTGGTGCACCATCTTGCTGGAAAAACTCAGGGAACGTGCCAGCTTCAGTGCATAAAGAGGGAAACACATCATCATGTAGCAATTTCAAATATCCAGTGGCCTTGAGGTTTCCATTGATGAAGAATGGGCCCACTATCGTTGTACCCCATATACCACACCAAACCATCACTCTTGTTGTTCCAACAGTCTTGGAGGGAACCATCCAATGTGGGTTAGTGTCAGACCAATAGCGGTGGTTTTGTTTGTTAACTTCACCATTCACATAAAAGTTTGCCTCATCACTGAACAAAATCTTCTGCGTGAACTGAGGGTCCTGTTCCAACTTTTGTTTTGCCCATTCTGCAAATTCTGTGCACCGAACTGGGTCATCCCCGTTGAGATGCTGCAGTAGCTGCAGTTTGTAAGGGTGCCATTTGTGAGTAGCTAACATCCGCCGAAGGGATGTTCGACTAATGCCAATCTCCAGTGACATGCTGCGAGTGCTACGCTGTGTGCTTTTGCTGAATGAAGCTTGGACAGCCACTGATGTTTCTTCATTAGTGACAGTTTTCTTGCGTCCACATTTTGGCAAATCCAACACTGAACCAGTTTCACGAAACTTAGCAAGCAGTTTGCTAACTGTAGCATGGGAGATGGGTGGTCTTGTAGGGTGTCTTGCATTGAAATCTGCTGCAATGACCCGGTTACTGCCTTTACCAGATATCAACACAATTAAATTTCGATCTGCTCCTCACGTGTTAGCCTCTTTGACATGTCAATGGCTGTGAACAAAGAGAAACTTGTAAATAACTCATAAAAGAATAAAGTTAGGTTGAAACCAAGCACACCATTGTTTTTCTTGTGACATTACCAATAAGTTTGATGTGTCACATAGCCCTCCAAGATGTATCCAAGATGGCCGACTTCTAAACGGCCACCATGGTCACCACCCATCTTGAGGAGTTTGCCCCCTCACATATACTAATGTGCCACAAACAGGACTTTAATATCACCAACCATTCCCATTTTATTACGGTGTATCCATATAAATGGCCCACCCTGTATTGCTGCTCTTACACAGAGAAGATTGTCATCAGCAAGAATCACTGGCTGTGCAGCATGCAGTCCTCAGCAAGAATTTCCTATTATGGTATTACTCAGGGAAGCTAAATTGAATTAGATGAGTGGTCTTCATTATGTGCTGGCTCTGGGCATGTTAAGTTGTAACTGATCAGTTGAACTAAAGTAAAACTAGGACACCACCCACTTGATGCCCAGTGATTGCATTGAATTTTTACTTTTACTTTTTTACTTTTTATAGTTGCAGTGACCAAGTGGCTGCGTATAGGTTGAACTTGCAAAACCCTCAACTTCTGGGTGGTCACTGTCACTTTTAATTACAAGATTGCACAGGCCTGTCTCTAAGCAATACCTTTCAAACTTTAATTGACTTTATTAGTGTCATACTGCATCAATATTAACCAAACAGAAAGTAATTACGAGGTTTTATGGATGTGCTACAGAATCAAAAACATATGTACAATAAATCAGAGGAGAACTAAAACAACTTTTTGAAACCCTTAGGCTAATTTTCTTCATGTCTTTGTGTATAAATTACTGTACAAAACCATTAGGTCAAGAGGAAGAACTCAACTAATATCAAATTCTCTGTGTACTGTATAGCCTACATACATATTTGGAGAAAAGAACTATCATTGCTGAAAACACTGTTTCAATACTGACATTATAAACTATGCACATTCTGGGGCAATGGCCCTATCTTACTAAAGTTTTACAAAATTGTTTGAGTTTAACAAGTCAAAAGCTCTACCAAAAACTTCATGTCTATGCCATTAAATAATTAAAATGACTAAAGCATACTCAAAGAGAAGTTAAATATATTTTATATACATGGTCACACACAAAAAGCCCATCTTCTGATAGTCAGGATATTTAATGCCTAAGTCATACTAAAAGTTTAACATGTACCTTCTCCAATTCCTCAATATATCTTCTATTTGTCACTCTAGATTTTCTGCCTTTTTAATATAACAGCTATTTCCTTCATGTTTTCATTTGGCCTGCATAAGCACAATAGCAAATTTAATTGATAAACATACGTTTAACATTTTGGGAGCTGCTCTTATTTGTTGTCTCTTGCTGAGATCTATACAAGAAGATCAATGCTGTTCTCCTGTCTGTCAGGTAATTATTAAAGCCAACAGAGAGTTAGTCTGCTAGCTTGGTTGTCTGGTAAATACTAGCAAACAGCCTTCTGTGAATGTAACAATTCTTTGTGGCATAAATGTAGCATGGCACCGGGAACGTTCCTCAAAGATTTTGAATGTTCTGCTCCAGCAAATCCCAAATGTGTTCTGAGATCTGGTGATGGTGAGGGGATTCTGAATGCAGTGAGCTCACTGTCATATTCAAGAATCCAGTTTAAGATGATCTAAACTTCCTGTTGGAAGCAGCCATCACAGGATGGGTACCCTGTGATCATAATGGGATGGACATGGTCAGCAACAATACTCAGGTAGGCTGTGGGGTTCAATGATATTAAGGGCCCAAAATGTATAACAGCACCACCAGCTGCCTTAACCATTAAGCCAAGGCAGGATGAAACCATTCCTTCTTGTTGTTTATGCCAAATTTTGACCCTACCACTTGAACGTTGAAACAGAAATTGAGATTCATCAGAACATGCAATTTTTTCCCCAGTATTGTCCAATTTTTGTGACCCTGTATAAATTGTTGCCTCAGTGTCCTATTCTTAGCTGCCAGGAGTGGTCTGCTACTGCCTTCAAGGTTTGATGTGGTGCGCATTTAGAGATGCTCCTTTTAAATATATGTCTTCTCTAAAATCTTTACATTTTCTTTAAAAATCGTTTTCCCTGAAACACACAATGAAAAAAAAAAACTGAAATAAAAATGTATAAAATGTTGATTTATTTAATAATCTATTTTAGTGCTTCTAATGTCACAAAATAAAGGATAACACAGAGATGATGATGTAAT